CACACACACACACACACACACACACACACTTTTTAAAAGACAAGATGTGCCTACGGATAGCCTTTCAGCGCCTTGGTCAGATCCCGTGTATTTCAAGTGATGAATCTTGTTTTAAGACAAACTTTTAACCTTGGCTGGACTTGGCTTTGCTCGTTCGGAAATGAGACTTCTATATGCGGCCTTGGAAGGTTGGGGTTGTTTTACTACAACCTGTACGCAACATTTGTGACCTAAAATTGGAACCCAGCTGATGAGCTCTTCAACTCTTTTTTCTTTATTACATGCCTTTTTTTTTTTTAAATTGGGGAAGGGGGAAAATTTATTTTCCTAATTTTCCCAGTTCTCCTCTGGAGGCTAAACTGGAAGCCCCAAAGAGAAAAACAAGAGGTGATGAGACAGAAAACCAGATTTTCCTAACCTTTCCTGCTTTCCTTTTGCTTTCTATTTAAATAACATTCCAAATTGTACAATGTCAACATGCAAATTCTTGAAAGGATCCCTCCTCCCTCGTTTCCCTTTCTGATTCTGGCTTCTCTAAACAAAGATCTCCAACGCGACATCCCACCCGAATAGTCTGTTTTAAGGACACCTTTTTATCCGAGCCCTGATTGGCGCCTGAAGCCACGGTCTGTAGTAGACCCTTTCTCCCTCCTGCACTTTAGCTTCAGGATACATTGGGCGACCGACCTGCGTTTTCTTTCCAGAAGCAAAGCGAGTTCAGGGTGCACCGAAATGGGGGCGGGGGGGGGACGAGTAAGGAGGGAAATAATCTGCATTTTGGTCTGGTTTTCTACTGCTCTCTCAGCAAAATGCTAGATCAGGTGGCACATATTTGGTTTTGCGATACTGTTGCTTTCAGAAGACAAGACTGGTTTCCCAAAAGCAGGAAAACGAAAACGCTTGTTTGCTTGACGAGTTATTTATATTTCTTTCCCTGCTGGTCTGGCTTAAGAAATAGCTCCGCTCCACTTGTATATGTGTTGTGTTTACAAAGGCGCGCAGCATTGGGTTGTGTACAAACACAGCGTATGATAGACCTGTGACGCATTGTCTATATATGCCGGTAGACAGACACACCAACACACACGCACCCCTGTGCACGCTGTACCTACATGTATACGTATTTTGATGGAGGCCCATGGAGAACACAAAGCAGGCGCCCCTCGCTGCTGTTTGTCTCCGTTATGTTTTAGCAAGCGGTAGTATTTTGACCCACAACTCTCACACCCTCCACCATCACCATCAAAGACCAGGAAATGATAATCCTATTCTCTCTGGCACACAGTTCTCTCCAAAATATGAACACCTCTCTACCCTTAATTTGCGTCCCTGGAAATACATTGCCCAGTTCATTATATGAAAGGTGTTGAGCTCCAGGTTCTTTTCACACATCCTCTTCCGCCCTGCACCTCTCATTCTCTTGTCTAGCACCACAGTTTTCATTTCCACATTTCTATCCAGTCCTCTCCAATGATCCTGAATATGCTTTTAAATACCCCAACACTGAACACTCTGCTATCTTTCTGCCAACTTTATATTAAATAATAATAATTAAAAAAGAAAAAAAGAAAACAAACCTGTACAGTTTTGTATATTCTAAACATTTTTTGGAAGTTATTAATTTAAAAGAAAAAAAGATCATTTAGATTATTCATTTAGTAACTGATGTATAATAAACACTATTTTCATTAAAGGTTGCTTTTTCAACTATTTTATTCCAAATTGCCTATTGCAGTTGCCAACAATTATTTATTTTCAATAAATTCTGCATTATGTTTAAAAAAAATTTAAAAAAAATAAAAAAACTGAAGTGGCTGTTGAAGGAAGGAAGGAAGGCTTAAAAATAATTAAAAAATAAAATGATTCGCTTGTTTGATTGTCAACCACTTTTAGTCAAGGGGGTTTATATTGATGCAATATTTTATTGTTGTAAAGACACACACAAAAAAGGTCTAAATAAAACATTTTTACAAATTAAAAAAGGTTGCATTATTTGTATTGGGTGCAGGGAAGCAAAAAAAGTTACCACCCCCCACTCCGGAATAGAAAACGGGGAGGGAATCCCACCTGTCTCTATTTTTCTACCTTCCATTCTTCTTTGTGGCCTTGCTATTATTATTATTATTGTTATTATTATTATTTAGAGTCAGAATTTTGGTAACTGCTGTAAACCGAAGAGTCCCCTTTAGTCCAAATTTCTAGCTGCTTTCCTTTTAACCTTATTTGCGATTTGCAGCTATTATTAACAGCCAATTTCCTCTTCCAGCCTTAAGGATAATATGCTATGAATATTCCTATGTGTCACCAGCCATTCAGGCCTCAATCAGTTTCCTAAATAATCTAAGCCAGGGACAGAGATAGGGAACAGAAGGGATATTTTGTCTCTCTCCCCTTCCCATTTCTAATGGGACGATATTTTGGAATCAAAGTGATTGTTGCAGGTGGATCAGTTTCCTTGGATAAACCCCCCCCCACCCCCCACACACAGAATTTTTGTCTAGGCTGAACGTTTTGCTTTGTTGAGCTGGACCAGTGAATCAAGTCAATCTCACCGAAGAGATGGTGCAGTTTGACCCTTTTCTTTGGTTTGGCTGGGGAAAAAAATATGTTGGAATGACATACGTTTCCTTGTCAGAAGCACAAGCGCTCGTGCTCTCTCATTCTTTCTCTCCCCCCCTCCCCCCCCCCCCCCCCCCCCCCGCCATGTTTCAGAGGCAGCCCAAGAGATGATGTTGACTAGCAGACAGGATAAGGTAGAGCTAAGAGGGCCTGCTTGGACCAGCCATTTGTAATTGACAAACAGGGAGTGCACGGATGTCTGTGAATGGGAGCTGTATCAAGGCAGGCGTGCGGCCTGCGAATTATAATTTAAAACAGAGGAGAGTGCTGCCGAGTGTGGGGAAGAGCTGTGGCTGTGTCTTTGTGAAGACAGGCTTTGGTTTGTTGGTTTGTTGTGGGTTTACTTGTTTGGTAATGAGTCTAACGGTATGATCTTTGTAGGAAATGGAGATTCCAACTGGGGAAACAAAGCAGGGGTGTTCAAGGCTTCTACCGCATGCTTGCTATCATGTTGTAAAGTAAGAGCACATTTGTTTAAGGCACAGAGTAGCGGTGGTTTTTCATAGATATTGCTTTAAAGCCCCTCCCTCACCCCCCCCCCCACTTTCCGGCCTTCCTTTTATTTGTTATGCAACCCAGTGTGCCGGGTTATTAGGAGATGAAATGTGTGCAGATGAGCCACTCGGAGGCTGGGAGACAGCATGGTGGAGGCCTGGAATGGATTCCACGACCACAGCAGAACAAGTAGCCAAACCAAGAACTTGTGTATTTGCAGGGACGATGCAGTCCCTCCCTCTCCCTCACCCCTCCTTTGACTGGGAAACAGCACTGCCTATTGCTTTTCTTCCCCAAGGAGATGTGTTTTGGATCCGTCTGCATTGTCCTGTTGAATCCCCCAGGAGTAAGAACCGCCTTGTGGTCACTGGAGATGCGAGGAGAACTTTGGGAAATGTCCTCTGCATGCCCGCCCATGTAGCTGGGAAGCGAGCGTCTCAGTCTGGCCTGTGGTGTCTGACAGAGAACGATAGCCTTCCATCCTACATTTCACATCAGCCAAACTACATTTGGTTTAATGTCTATCAAAAACAATCTAGGATGCAAAAATGGCCGCTGATGGATGTGCTTTAATGGGTGCCTGAACAGGAGCACTTACTGTGTGTGAATTTTTCTTTTGTTGCATGAATAATTATTTCCGCTTCACCCACAAACCCCAACCTCTTAGAATTAAGAAGTACCCCTGGTCTGGCTTGAGTTCCACCAAGGACTTAAAATAAGTAGGAGTTAGGAGGTTGCCTGTAGGGTTTCTTAAGGCTGCTCTCCATGGAATCCAAAATGAAAGGTGGAATAACACACGTTAATCATATCTAATAGGATGAAATACAGGTCCAATTTTACCTCCCCTCTTCCTCCATCACCTTTTTTGAGCCAAAGGTGTTACGTAGGGAGAGGGAGAGTCTAGGCAAGAGCAAACACAACCCTGATGCAAACCATCCATGCACTGACTTTAGAAATTAATCCAGAAAAGCCAAGCCTTCTTGGGGGTGAGGAGAGGAAGGCCTACAGAATATTTATTTTAAGAGTGAAATCAGTGTGGTGGTGTTTTTTGTAGTGAGTTACACAATGGTCTTTATGAATTGTAGGAGAAAAGAGAGAGTCCTAGAAAAGCTTCTTTTTAAAACACACAAATACAAACCTTTAATAGCCGCAAGTTTTCACTTGCTCCTACCACATCACAAGTCTGGGTTTCTTGATACTTTTGTTTTACACTGTACAACTTTTTAAAGTAATAATAATGTTCTTCCATGATAATGGACTCGGGCTCAGTTTAGACA